GAGCAGACGCAGGCGCTGGGCTCGCTCAGCCCCGTGCAGAGAGGCCTTGGGCAAAGAGAGGGGAGTGGGAACTGACCCGGGGTGGAGGCTTGAGCTGAGCCCTGCTGGGACCAGTTCAGAGAGGTGAATGGAGGGGAAGGGCCTGCACTGCTCTGGGCACAGCTTCCATCACCTGGAGTGTCCAGGGAGCCTCATGAGCTGGCAGGAATAAATGTCTGTGTTAACTGCTGGTACACGTAACTCACCCTCCCAGTTCTGGCCCTGCAAGGTAAGAATCTGCTGCTGCTGTATGTTGCTGAAGGGTTAGAGAGGAGGCAGAGAGGGGAAACTCATTCCTGTCAGCCCAGGTACCATCACGATTCCCATCCCAGAATTTATTCATTTACCCTCATCTATTTATTAAAGCTCAACACTATGACTAAAGAGAGGGTGGCACCACAAGATCACCTTGCATGGGTTTGATTGCTGGACACCCCAGTTTGTGCACCATCACATGGGGCTCCTCCAGTCAGAATGTGCCACACCTCTGCCAAAGGCCTGCTCCCCCTGTATTAACTGGAGCTCCTATTGGATTTTCTTAAAGCAATTCCATTTGTTGTGTTTGCCCTCCCCGGGATCCCCAGCTTCCCCTGCCCCTGGAGGCAAAGCAGGTCCAAGCAGTGTTCCTACTTGTAGTAGTTACTCCATTACAAAGTTAATTAAATCAACGCACATCCCTGTAACCCTGGAACGTTCCCAGCTGAACACTCGACTTTGCAACTTTACCATCCCTTTTCCCTTGGGTTCTTACGTGATATTTATGTTGTCCCCATAGCTGTGTCCGTGGGTTCTTTTCCAGCTTAGACTATAGCATTGCGTTTTGTAAAGGCTCCCCAGGAATGGGGAGCTGCAGCTTTCAAACCAAATTTTGTGTCAAACACTAACAATTTGTTTACGGGGCGCGTGTACGTGTGCGTGCGTGTGTGGGTTTTTTATTTCTTCCTTCCTCAGCCCTACTCATATGTCTCGGAAATAGTCCCTGGGTCTTATTAAAATATATCTTTTTGTTTTTTGTTTAGGTTGAGTTCAGTTTTTACAGAATGCTTTCAGCAACCTGGAAAACACGTAGTTTTGTTAATTTAAATAAAATATACAATATTGTGGATTTGTTGTTGGAATTTCCTCTCATCTCTAATCTCCTCTGGCAGTGGGAAGCCAGTCCCCCTTGTCCTGCCCTTCCAGACCCTCACCCAAAGTCCCTCTCCAGCTCTCCTAGAGCCCCTTTAATTGTGGGAAGGGGCTCTTAAGGTCTCCCTGGAGCCTTCTCTTCTCCAGGCTGAACAACCCTGCAGGGTTTTCCTTCCTGTCCCTGCTTGCCAGCCCTGGAGTTGTCACAGCTGTGCTGTGACCTTTGTGTGTTGGCCATCACCCCACTGCAGTGTTGATTTGGGCATCACCGTCCATCTGCTGCCCATATTTCAGGGTGCTGCTGCCTGTCTTGCTGTCTATAATCCAGGGAAAATAAATTATTAAAAAAGTGTTGGTCTCTTCTCTCAGGGAACAAGTGACAGGACAACAGGAGACAGCCTCAGGTTATGCCAGGGGAGGTTTGGATTGGAGATTTGGGAAAATCTTTTCATGGAAAGAGTTGTCCAGCCCTAGCAGAGCTGCCCAGAGCAGGGGTGGAGTGCCCATCCCTGGAGAGATTTGAAAGATGTGTGGATGTGGCACTTGAGGACATGGGGCAGTGTTGGGGGAATGACTGGACTCAATGGTCTGAGAGGGCTTTTCCAACCTAAATAATGCCATAATTCTTCGACTGGCACTTAGGGAGTAGTGGAAAATTTGATGCAAACAGACAAATTTCAGTATCAAAGGCCTGCAGTCCCCTTGCAGGAGGGGCTGCCCTGATAAAACAGCACCTAACAGAGGGTCCGGGTGTGAGCTTTGGGCAGAGCCTGTGGCTCCATTCCCGCTGCAGCCTCGCCACAGGCATTGCAGCTCTTTGGGACCTAAAGGAGCGAATTAAATGAGATTTCAGTGCCTGTAGAGCCGCCAGCCGCCGGCACACGCTCCTCTCCCGGAGGAGCGTATTTGCCGGGACGCGCATCCCGTCCTGGCCGGGCTCTGCTGCCACCTGCTGCCACCAGAGCCCGGCTCCCGGCTGGACAACACAAACCAGCGAAATGTGGGGAATTCGGGGATGCGGAGAAGCCACAATTGCCTGCAAGGTGCTGCTCGGGGTCCGGGCTGGCCCTGGAGTTTGGTGAGTCCGTGTCGCCGAGCAGGGACACAGCGAGAACAGGCAGCAATGGGCAAAGCCACCTGAGAGTGTCAGCGCTGGCTGGGGACAGGGAGCTGCCGGGTTTCCCTCCTCGTCCTCTTTAATCCCACTTCCAGCAGCCCCCAAACAATTCGTATGTTGTGGGACACTGAGTGTCCCCTCTCCCACCCCAAATCCTGCGACCCAGAGCTGTTTTCTGGGATTTTGTTAGGATGCCGGTGAAGGATTGGGTGCATTGCTGGGGACGGAATGGCAGGAGAGGAGCTCCAGCTCTGCTTATAATGACAGTCACCTGCTCTCGACGGGACACTTTTTGGGGTAAAATAAGCAATGAACAGCAACAGATTTATTTTTGGAAGGTTTTGATCTGTGGTGGGCACATGGAAGTGTCACGGGTCTGCTTCCCACTTAGCACCTGACACCATGCTGTGCGAGAGCTCTCGGAGTTCTTCCCTTGTCAGAGCCTATTATAGGAAATCAATCCCAGCTCCAGGCTTTAGATCTGGAGGTTTAAATAAAACACCTCTTAGAAAGAACCATTGGAAAGCTTGGGAAATATCTGAAAATGGGATAATGGAGCAAAAGTGGCTAGCGCAGAATTAGCTACTCATTCCTAACCAGTGTTTCATTGTGGCTAATAAATACCTCATAAACACCAGAAATGATGGTTTAGAAATACCCCATAAACACCAGAAATGAGGGTTTGTAAATCTGCTCTGAAAATCCCCAGTAATGATGGGATTTGGGCAAAGTGAGTGGCTTGCAGGTTGTGAGCCTTGCCACAGGCAAGTCAGCCAGCCTGGAGAGACGGGAACCCTAAAAGCAAATGTAAGATAAACAGGAATTTTTTCCAGCAGAACGAAGGTGAGGGGTGATCCCTGACCCCATGTTGATCCCACTAATGTTGATTAGTGGATTTTCACAATTCTGCTTTATTCTCCTATTTTCATTTATTAATTCAGACAGGAGCTTTCAAAGCATCTCAGGACAAATGGGCACCCTACTGGCTTTGGAGTTGCCATTTCTTTTTTAAGGTCTTGGGTTTAGTTCCCCCTGCATGGGGATGGATTTGGTCCAAGTTCTACCTCAGGTATTTCAGCCTCATGTCAAGATTGAAACTCCTCTGGGTTTTTTGTATTAGACAAAAAAACCTCCACAGCATTATAAAATAGATCTAAAGGGATACTTTTTGTTGATCTGGGATAGGAGCATTAGAAGACTGATAGAAGTGGATTTAAAACAGATACCACAGTGTTAGGAACGCAACAAGGATCAGAGAAATAAGAAAGGATAACCCGGAAAACCACAAATGGTTTGGGAAGAATGAGCTTGGGGAAGGACTGGGAAGTGTTCCTCCACAAGTGTTGATTCCAGCACAGTTACTGAGTTGTTTTTTATTAATTTCTTCCTCATCTTGGGAGTTCTGCCAGATGTCCTTGTGGTCCATAAATCCTGCATTCCCTGTACCCACTATCAGTGGTTTATCCTTCTTCCCAAGCTTTGTTAAACTCCCCCAGGTCTGAGAGCAGAGACACATGTCCAGCCCTAACTTGAGCAATTCTACCAACAATTCATTTAAGGTTTTTTTAATACACAGGCATCAGTTAGAGCTTGTTGATTGCTGCTTCACGGATTCAATCTCACTTCTTGTTGATTAGGCTTGAAGATCAACCATCAAAGAACATCCTTTCTTAAAGAAATTTTACACATTCCCCATTTTTCAACATGACCAGCCCGTAGATGACCCACAAACAGAAACACCTCATAAAATACTTTAATTTCGGACCGAACCCCTCAGAAGCCGACGGCCATTTTGGGGCGTGAGGGCGGGCGGTGCCTGGGCGGGAAGGGGCGGGAAGGGGCCGTGAGGGCAGAGCCGAGCCCGGGACGGGAACCCACGGGCGGGAAGGGGCCGTGAGGGCACAGCGGAGCCCACGGCGGGAACCCACGGGCGGGAAGGGGCCGTGAGGGCACAGCTGAGCCCACGGCGGCGGCCGGGACGGAGCGGGGCGAGAAGGAACCCGGGATGGCTCTCTTCCTCGGCCGTGCCGGAGTTGGAACAGCGGGGACACACGGCCGCCTGCTCCTGTCAGGCAGCGCGTGGTGCGAGCTTCGGTGTACCCGCATGAGGGCGTTTTTGCAGAGACTGCTCTGGGGGAAATTCCTAATAAACGAGGAGAAATACTTGTGATTGTGACACACAGCTACTCTATTTCATGCGGCGGTGTGAGGGAGACAAACCAAACAGTGGAATCACAGAATATCCCGAGTTGGAAGGGATTACACGGACAAAGTCCTGAGTGGAACTTGCTGGCCGCGGCCCCAGGGCTCGGTGGCTTACCCGGGGAGGGCTTAGAAGCTGCTCAGGGCATCCCTGCCTCTCTTAATGTCAGTGGGGGCGAAAACCTGACCCGAATTTAAAGTTTTTAAATTAAATCAGCCCTAAATTTAAGCCGGGAGATGTGCAGGGCGAATGAAAGACGGCAGAGCCCGGCAGTTCCTGCGGGTCTGCGGTGTGGGGAGCTGAGGGAGGGCGAGACTCGCCTTTGTGCGTGGGGCGAGGGATGGAGCAGCACAGCTCGGCTGCGGCGGCTTTAATTCAGGCGGTTGTGTTGATTATTTATTTCTTTTCACGGGGAGGTTGAGTGGAAGGCTGGATTTACGGAGGCACGGAGCCCCCCCTCCCGCGGCGGCGGCGGCGCTCCGGGCGAGGGTGGTGCCGTTTTCCCGGGGGCTGGAACACGCCTTCCCGGGGGCAGGAGCGCGGCTTTCCCGGGGCTGGAGCACGGCTTCCCGGGAGCCCGAACACCCCTTCCCCGCGGCTGCCAGGCGGTTTCAGCCCCGTTTCGCTGCTCGGTGGAGCTGATGGCTGCAGGTGAATTCTTATTCTCTCCTCGTAGCGTTAAACGTGCATGGGCTGCATGGCTGAGGTAGGGAAGGAATAGTGACTTATTTCAAGGGAAAAGGATGGGAGTGATTTATTAATTGCTGCTTTCAGTAACGCACCCTTTCCCCCCTCCCTCTCCGCAGCCCACCTCTGCATAGGGCTGTGTAAACTTGGTGGAACTCGGGCTTTTTGGGTGAAAACCTCCCCTGACGTCTCGGCGCAGCGAACATGCCTGAGCAGAGCAATGATTACAGGGTGGTGGTGTTCGGAGCAGCGGGGGTCGGCAAAAGCTCCCTGGTCCTGCGCTTTGTAAGGGGCACTTTCAGGGAAACCTATATCCCCACCATCGAGGATACCTACCGGCAGGTGATCAGCTGTGACAAGAGCATCTGCACCCTGCAGATCACGGACACCACGGGCAGCCATCAGTTCCCTGCCATGCAGCGGCTCTCCATATCCAAAGGGCATGCCTTCATCTTGGTGTACTCCGTCACCAGCCGGCAATCCATGGAAGATCTTCACCCCATCTTCGATGAGATCTGTCAGATCAAAGGCGACATCCAGAAAATCCCGATAATGTTGGTGGGGAACAAAAGCGACGACGCGCAGAGGGAGCTGGATGCCAGCGAGGGGCAAGCGCTGGCCAGCAAGTGGAAGTGTGCCTTCATGGAGACATCTGCCAAAATGAACTACAACGTGCAGGAGCTCTTCCAGGAGCTCTTGAATCTGGAGCAGAGGAGAACTATCAGTCTCCAGGTGGATGGAAAGAAATCCAAACAGCAGAAAAAGAAAGATAAACTGCAAGGCAAATGCTCTGTTATGTGATTGCCTTTGGCTGGACTTGCTGCACGGCGCAGCTGGAGCATGGACTCCCACAGAAAATACATTTCTGCTGGAGATTTTGGAGGAATCCACGCCTTGCAGGCTTGTTGCTTTCCTCTAAAATCCCAACTGGGTAATTGTATGTGTTGTTTTTAAGGAGGATGGCTTCTGCATGTTTATTTTTTTAAACCAATAAATGTTCCATGTTAGCAATTACCTGTGACTAGAAGTTTTTAATGCAAGAAGTTTTTCAGATGCAAAAAAAAGTCTGTCAGAACAAGCCTCCCTATTCTTGTGAGTACATGCCAGTTTTTAAATATCTCCAGCCTGTTAACTCAGAGGAAATAATCTATAATGTGTAGAGTTAAATTGTTTTCAGGAATCTATTGACCAGAGCAAATCTGTATCAAAGTGAGGCATTTGCTCTAAAAATGAGCATGTGTCTGGCTCTGGGTGCCTAAATTTTTGATTGACAGCCTGGCTTGCCCACCAAAGCTGCAGCTTTTGAGTGGCAGAAGTGAAGTTTTCCTGTGTGCTGTGCAGTTCCCAAGGGCAGTTCTGGGAGTGATTACAGCTGTATCTGTATAAAATCAGGGTTTCATTCCTGCTTTACTCTGGCTTCTTCTGTTCACTGAGGCAGGAGACTCCACGTGCTCTCATTCCCAGTCCAGGAGCGATCCTTGGTGTCCTTGAGCAGGAGCTGCCTCCCGATGAAGGTAACTGGCAGGTTCTAAGTGCCCACTGATGCAGAAGCTGGTTATCTTTTCCTTGCCCAGCCATTGCCCTAGTTTTGCTGTCTGAAGCTCCTTTTCTCCTGGAATTCTGTTAGATAGTTCTTTTCCCTGCTCCATCCAAGTCACCCAGGGTCTAGTTGAGACCTGGGATGAGTCAGTTCAGATGACACTGCCTGGGGAAGGAGCATCTACACCTGGAAGCAAACCCCTCTCTGATGAGAACATTCAGCAGACATTTCATGTGAATGAAGGGACTGGAGGGATTGAAAAGCTGTGTTGATGTGGCATTGGGCGGTGTGGGGTCAGTGCTGGGGAACAGTTGAACTCCATGGATCTTAGAGGGCTTTCCAAAGCTAAATATTTCCATGATTCTGTCTCCTATTTTGGGTGTGTTTTAGCCCAAGTGGAAGACTGTAAGAACCCAGTGTTGCACCGTAGGTTTGGTTTTTACACAGCACCATGGTCTTGACACATGAGACACAGGAGGAGAGGAATTGCTGCTTTTTATAGCACTTCTCTAGTGAAGTGATTTCCTTGTTGAAGGTGAACACAATATGGAGCAGGAGGTGCTGGAGGCTTTCAGGCTCTTACTGTGAAAGTGGGATAGGATGAGCTTTAAGGTCCTTCCCAACCCAAACCAGTCTGGCTTTCAGTGGAAGGTGCTGTAGAAGGGCCTTTTCTCCCAGACCTCTTTGTTCCTTTTGCAGGCTAATACACAAACATGAAATTTGTATCCATGTGAACACACGACATTTGGACAGCTCTTGGCACCTGGTGCTCCCTTGTCTCCTGTGCTATCCCTGAGCTGCTTTTCCAGTGTCCTTAGGCTGTCCCTACACACTCATGGGGTCAGATGGCTCCATGTGTGCCAGGGGTTTGTCCTGGTTTCATCTGGAGCCATCACACCATTTCATTCAGCAGGAAAACCTATTACTTATGATTTCAGAAAGCCAGCTCCTGCAGGAGGGTTTGGAGCTGTCCAAAAGGTTAGGCTCACTCCCCAAAACCAGCACAGAGATTTTCCCTATTGGAGAAGGGACCCTCCAAGCTCCCAGTGCTGGACCTGTGATGCTGGCTGGTGTTGCCCCCTGTGTGTGACCTCTCCTGGGGCAGTCAGGGGGCTGTGGGAGCAGCCCTGATGGCTTTGCCTGGACATAACACTTCCTTTCTCCTCTCTGACTTTGTGCATGGATTTTCCCTCTCTGTTCTCATGTCCAAGCAGTTACACAAAGCTCCTCGTGGGTTGTTTGGTTATTATTGCAAAAACTATTTCAGTTCCATCGCAGCCTTTGAAACCCCCCAAAGACGTTTTCTGTCTAAGCCTTTTTAAAATGTCAGGAGACCTAATAATGTCTCTACAACTCCCACTGCCTTCATGGAGATGCCTGTGCGAAGGATCTGCAATTACTCACACAGCCAGGATGTTCTGGAATGTGTCATTAGCACTGCTGTGTGTTCCCTGTGCGGGGTGTGGAGGTCTCCAAGGGATCTGTCAGAGCAACAATCCATTGGAACAAAACAGGCCCAGGCATTCCTGCACCCAGGAGAATCCCTGAGGGAGCTGGAAAGGGGAGAAAAGGAGGCTCAGGGGGAATTTCTGGCTCTGCACAACTCCCTGACAGGAGGGGACAGCCGGGGGGGATTTGGGATCTGCTCCCAGGAGGAGAGGGAATGGACTCAGGCTGGGGCAGGAGGGGCTCAGGTCGGACATCAGCAGGAATTTCTTCATGGAAAGAGTGGTTAGACATGGGAAGGGAGTGCCCAGGGTGGAGTCCCCATCCCTGGAGGGATTTCAAAGCTGTGTGGATGTGGCACATGGGGACGTGGGCCAGTGGTGGCCTCGGCAGTGCTGGGGGGATGATTCAACTGGACCATCTCAGTGGACTTTTCCAACCTAAACAATTCCACAATTCAAAGCTTCCTTTGCTTGCCACGAGACCAAGACTGTGTGGCAGTGGAGATGCTGGGGTGCTCCTGAGGGTGTCCCAGTTCAGAAACCCAAACCAGAAGGGGAACAAGCGACACCTGCTGTGTCTGCCTTTCATGCTCTGTAACTAATCTATGCCTGGGGTGTGCAGCTCAATTGTACTGTATTAATAAATAAGTTCTATTATTGGCTGTTTCCATATGAACTGAACTAACCTGGCTTGGGTGTGTGCCATCTATCGTTCCTACAGGAAGGGGAATTCATTCCATTGGAGTGGATGCTGTGTTTTGTGCTGAGGGTATATATTGGAAGGATTGAATAAGTGCAGTTTAGAAAAGCAGCAGACCTGTAGTTTTTCAGTTATCTTTTGATGAAGGACATTGAGGCGAAGCCATCTGTCAGCGATGAAGCAGCAGCTGTGCTGTCTGATGGAGCTGCTCTGGCCTTACCTGCTGTTTCCAGCAGTGCTTTTCCCAGAGCTGGTGACAACGTGTTTTTTATGGAGCTGTTCACGCATCCTGTAAACCTTTCATCTTGGAGACATACCCTGACACGCTCTCCATGTCTGGAGAGCTGGATGGGAACTCGTTAATAATTCTCAAGTTGGTTGTTTTATTCCCTTTTTCATTTTGTTCTACCCCAGAACTCTCTGGTTTTCTGGAATTTTCTTCACAAGGTCAGATGTGGTGAGACAAGGTGATAGAAGATGCTGACACAACTTGTTGAGTTGCTTTTGATGCCTCCACAGTGTCTTCTTGGGATCACGAGTTGAACAGCGTGGTCTCTGAAAATTCCCTTTGGGATATCCTGAAGGAATCCCGAGACCCACGGCTGCCTGGGTGGCTGCTGAAGGCTGGGACCGTGAGGGCAGTGAGTGATTTTGAACTGAATCACAGAATTGTGCAATCATTGAGGCTGGAAAAGCCCTCCAAGATGATGAAGCCAAATCTGTGCCGAACCCCCACCTTGTCACCCAGCCCAGAGCACTGAGTGTCACATCTAGCCCTTCCTTGGATGGGCACTCCACCACCTCCCCATTCCAATGTCCAGCCTGACCACCCTTTCCAGGAGGAAATTCTTTTCCTCTCTGTGAAATTTCTCAGTTAATGCTCCTTATTTCCATACAACACTCGTTGACAGGCTTGAGGCAGTTCCCTTCCTGAGTTCGATGAACAAAATCAGTGTCAAGAGAAAACACTGGGGAGGAGAATCACGAACAGCTCTTCTTGCGAGAGAAAAATGTGAGCAGTAGCTGGAGTATCCACCCACACATGTATTTTAAAAACAAGCAGACAGAATATTGCTGTATTCCAATTCCTCTTCCCAGAGCAAAGCAGGCTCATGATTAATGGAACAAACAGCTCGGAATAATAAGCAATATTGCTTTATATGCAGGGTCCATAGCCACGAGGTACCCGGCGCACTCCAGAAGAGTAAAAGCTCATCTTAATCATTGCCTGCCTCCTCTGCAGTGTCTGTGGCATAAATTAGGGACATCAAAAGCTTTGGAGAGCTAATGAAAATGCTAAAGGGGCTCCAGACCAACGGCAGCGTAGCAGCGTCCTGCTCAATGGTGTTGCTGCGTGCCGGGCTAGACCTGCCTCATTGTTTTTTTCCTTTTTTCCCACTTTGGGGAAAAACTTTGACATAAAATCCTATTAGATGGGAGTACACTTAATAATGCAAAAAGGATGGAGGAGCAGAGGAAGGAGGGGAACCCAGCAGTGCCATGGCTCGGTTGGGTTTGTTCACAGTCCCGTGGTGGTGGAGCCAAACCTCGCTGGCAGAGCTGGGCACCAGAACAGGGTCTGGCTTGGGCTGCTGCCTCCATCCCATTTGCTGCTCTTTGTCCTCTTCACACTTGCAGCAAGTCTGAAAATTAGAGGGAAAGGAATGATTGTGTTTTCCTGGATTAGCACAGAACCAGAGTCTTCCAAGCCAGCCATGCCAACTGCTCCCACCATTGCCCTCAGCTCTTATCCGGGTGGGAAGGGGCATGTGGGGTCCCACCAGAGCCCATCTCTTCCTGGCAGCCCGTGTTGAGAACTTTCTCCAAGCCTTGAGCAGAGGGCAAATGCAGCTGATCTGCTGAGAGGGGCTTTTCCCAAGGGGGATTGGATTTAAACTGAAGCAGAGCAGGTTTAAATTGGATATTGGGAAGGAAATTCTTCCCTCTGAGGGTGGTGAGGCCCTGGCACAGGGTGCTCAGAGAAGCTGTGGCTGCCCCTGGATCCCTGGAAGTGTCCAAGGCCAGGATGGATGGAGCTGGGAGCAGTCAGGGATAGTGGGAGATGTCTCCTCCAGCTAAAGGGATGTGGTTTTCCTGCTCCTGGATATAGGTGCCCAGGCAGAACACTGCTCCAAAGGGTCTGACATGGAGAGCAGTGGGGAGCTTTCCTTCCAGAGCTCAGTGATGCATTTGTGCCTTTCAGACTAAAAATATCTAAGGATGGAGATACGAAAACTCTTCTCTCCTATGTTATGGTTTTCCTTTGTTCCTACATGTTTTCCTCCAACCCCTGCATCCCATTATCTGCCTCAGGCTGCCCGTGGGTGAAGGATGAGCAGCTCACACCCAGGCAGTGAAAATCCCTCCTTGGAGGGAAAAACCCACCCATCACACAGAGTCCTTGGATCAAGACCAAGGTCTCATCTGGGATGGGAGTGATGAAAAGGCTTCTTCTGCCAGTGCTGGCTGCCCACATCCTGCTGCCCACATCCTCCTGACTGCTTGGAGCATCCCTGGAGCAGGGATGGAGCAGATCCCAGCCTGC